TCTGCAGGAACCTGCCTTTCGGGGCTTCTGCTTGGACTTCTTGAAGTGGGAGGGGAAGAGAAGATGCAATCCTTCTCTTGATCGGATGTCTTGTTGTTACCGTTGACCTTTCGCATGATGGAGTCCCGGGAGATACGCGGAGGTAATTGATAATCATCAAGAGCCGACATGTCACCAACAACGTCGTCATGCTCTTGAAGAGCATCGTTGAGGCTTGTGGTTGACTCGGGCTCAGAAATTGGGCTGCTCAATCGTTCGCGGCCATTAGCTCTACGAAGGCGACGCTCACGCTGCTGCTCAGCGGCTGTCTTGCCATCGCCATCGTCCGACAACATCATGAGTCTCAATCGCTCCTCAAGCGACATCTTGGCATTGCCAATGCTATGAATGTCTGACTTGCTTGTGGCAGAGGCTTGAGGAAGAGATGGAAGATTCCTGTTAGACCCAAGCATTCTTTCTGCGGTTGCTGACAGACTTGGCGATGCAGGTGAAGAGGGTGCAGAATTGTTGCGGGAATGGCTCATAAAACCAGGAAGAGGCGGTAGAGGCCGATGCTCTCCGTTTGAAGTCGTAGAGTCACTTCGGATATGTAAAGGGCGACCAGCCGTGGCAGCAGAAGGTGTACCCTCAGGCATGGGACTGTCACTGTAGTCACGAGGCCCATTGCGGTTCACCATGGGACTGTCGCCTCTCCAGTCATCAGGCCCAACAACGGGAGTTTTGTCTGTGTCTTCCAGGGAAGCGTCAAAGCTATCGCCCTCAAGATCCACGTGGCCAGGATCATACAGGACGTCATCATCTTCATCATACTCGATTGACTCATAGCTTCCCTCACGAGAATTGGTGCCAATAGACGACAGGTCGGGAGTTGCCATCTCATATTCGTTGATCTGAGGAGGTGCGGCATCAAAAGTCACACTTTTTGCGTGGCGACGTCCCATCGGATGATCGTCATCCTCTTCGGGTGAGCCAAATGACCAAGTATTCGTCTCCATGTCAAAGCTGTTTTTGAACCTTGAGTGTGAAAGGGAGGACTTTGTAGGCGATACTTGATCTCGGCTGGGCGTCAGAGGACGATTCGGTGAGCCGGCTGTCTGAGTGGACGACTTCGGGCTGACGGCAGGAATAGTCATCGCGCTGTCACTCCGAGAATGGCCAAAGATTGGGCGCTCGATAGTCGAAGAGCGGAAAGATCCAGTCGACCCAAAGGCGTTCCCTTGGACCTTAGCGAGGGGTCTTTCGATCTGAGGGATTCGAGTGGGATCATATTCCTGCTTCTGTTCGAGTGCAAGGATATTGCTGTTCCTCACCCGAGACGCTTTCTGAAGACGCTCAATCGAAGAGCGGCGGTTTGGTGACGGTGACCCAGATCCGTATAGGTTTTCAGAGTTGCGGTTCTGCCAAAACAAACGAGGAGATGTCACTGATTCCGCGGGTGAAGGTTGGAATGGTGACGAGTCGGGATTTCCGGGTGATTTCTGCATGCTATCAATACAGAAGCCCAAACACGGGTTGGCTGTCAGCCGACGTACCTTGGGAGAACCAGTGGATTGTCTATGCCAGCTGGGGGAGTTTCTTCTCATCTCTGTCGGCGAGAGCTCTGACAGCGGGCGAGGGATTCCACTCGCCATGATGGATGGACCTTTGGTTGGTGTAGTTGTCTTGTTGATTCGCAAGGGATGCACCTGAGATCTAGTCAGAGACATTTTGCCCGAGAATCAGGACGAGTGGCGCGGTCTACATACCGATTCAGTAGCCATGCTACAGTAATGATGGGTATTTTGGTCGCAAGTCGAAGTAAGCGACTATCAACGCATTGGTATGCGAGTCCACTATACACAAGAAAATGAAGCAGAGGAATGTTACGACTCGGTGTGAAGCACAGCACCAAATGTGAATGAATGCAAGTTAGAAATGTGACCAATGTCTGCTGATAGAAGAAAGAAATACGCCTTGAACGGGCAACCAGACGACAGCTCTATCAAAGGCTAGACGACTCAACTCGACACAACTTGCACGAAGTGATGTTATGTTATGAAAGTCGGAGGGTAGAAGAGCGTCTTTGGCGAGTAGATGTGTTTAAGGGAAGCACATAGAGCAGTCCAAGGAATGTGCCTGATTGGATGATGGGAAAACAAACATGGTAGGCGTTGCCTGGGAGACGGTGGTCAGAACCGAGCTAAAGTCGGACGTTGGAGACGCTAGCCATCTTGCTACAATGCAGCAGGGTGCTAGAAACTTACCCCGCCCCTGTTATAGCGCCTCCATCCCCTCCAAGGACGATCCAGAGCATCCCTCCACTCCATGGTAAGCCAGCCCAGCATCCCTTACAGCGTCGCAACAGGAGCACAGCTCATAGTCGCCATGGCAGCAGCGCAGCCAGCCGCACTTCAAAAGCAAATAATTGGTTGCTTGGCCCAGCATAATCCTTGACAACCTCTGCAACCCAATGTTTACGTGATGCTTGTTGTTTTCCCCAACTGAGCTTCCTCTTCATGACGTTTTATTTTCTCCGATTTCGTTTCACCCCTGGAGATGGGGGAACTCAATGGGATTTGCTGCATCAAACTGCAAGCTCCTGCAAGTTTTCTGCAAGTTTGTGTAGCAGAAGGGCGACGGAGTCTCGTAGTGGTGATCTCACAACCAGATTTCCTTTTTACGCTCCTGTACCTAACCTTAGTACTTACAAAACCTCAAGATATCCATCCCGCACCCCATCGAGCATCCACCAGTCTAAAACGATGCCTCTGCCATGTCTTGCATCACGATCTTCCCGAGCACCACTTGAGGCTATTCTGGCACTAGACCCGGCATTACATAGCTCATCAGAAAATACATCCACATCTGGTTCTCTGTGCTTATGTTTGTTTCTTGCTAAACGTTGTTATTTGTAAAGAGTCTCACATGGTCTTGCCTATCTCATCCGCACTGACCCTTCGCTTAACCACGGGCCAGGTCTGTATCTTTGTTTTCGCTATTGATCATTCATATATGTACGTATAGTTTTCCGAATCAATAATATGATGGACCTGCATTGCTTCGATCGATTCAGTATGATGTAATCAGCCATGGTTCCTGGCTACCCGCAGCTTTGTGTCCAAAGCCTGCGAGGTTCTAGATTCCCAGTCGCCCACTTTCAAATAGGCATGGGAGGTATAAAAATATTTTATCACTAACTTTGATTAATGCATTATTTATCCATGCTGGAACATTGGGCAAAACTACAGAATATTTCCCATCATCAGCCAGAGTAATGCCAGGAAAGTATCCATTAATAGGTAAACCCCGCCTGCTTTCCCAATGGCCGTCACAGGCATACCCAGGCATGTAAGTACTAACGTTAGATACCTAGGTAACTACTAATCTTACACATCGTTGAATTCTTGTGTACGTATGGATGTTACAGGGTAAGGTACCTGGTCGACTGCCCTGGATGCTACCTCTGCTTCACGAAATAGGTATACTGTTTACATATCAATATCATATAGCCACATGTGCAGCCTCACCATGATCACTGTTGCTTAGAATTAGTTCATGAGTCAATTTATTTTCTTTCTAAGTGTTTTGTTTCTTATTCCAAGCAACACAATCATCAAACTTGACACCTGAGCCTCCGAAACAGTCCAATGCACTTCCAATTGTGAGATCCACCTTACCATTGCTGAGCCTCTTCACATTCTCCAAGTCTTCAAGATGTCTACCACCTCCAGCATAAGTCACTGGAATCGAACACCATTCAGAAAGACGCTGCACAAGATTCTCATCAACCCCCCTTTGCAGACCCTCATTATCTGCAGCATGGATCAAGAATTCCGAGCAGTAAGGCTCCAAAGACTTGATAGATTCTGTACCTGGTGAGTCTTTGACTTTAAACATATTTGCTGGGGGACTTGACTAACCTTGGTTGACTTCCATATCCGTGATGGTTTGCCATTTGTTCATTGCAACGAACCAAGAATCCTCTCCTCGGCGTCGGCAACTTAGGTCAATAACAAGCTTGTTTTTATCACCGCCAAGAGCTTGCAACACTGCATCAAGCCTCACCTGACTGAAGCGGCCCTCGGGGAAAAGGTACGATGTAATGATGACCTATTGGATGTTAGATCGCTCCTATGTGGTGCATTCTTCACCGTACCTTCTCCGCTCCCGCATTCAGCCATGCCTTTGCGTTCTTGTCATTGATGCCACCTCCAACCTGAAGACCACCGGGCCAGGCTTCAAGCGCCTCTTTCGCAGGCCCCTCATTTCCTGGGCCCAACATAATGACATGTGCACCAGTGAGATCATTGTCGCGGTATAGTTGAGCAAAGTGAGCTGGAGGATGTTGTGAGACATAGTTGGTTTGAAGAGCTGACGACGTGCTGTCAAGAGTACCGCCGACAATCTGCTTGACCTGACCTGCATGAAGGTCAATGCAGGGCCGGAATTTGGTCATGATGAAGATGACTTTGGGTGATCAATTCAGGTTAAAGATCAAACTACCTACCTTGTGTAGTCTTCGTCCCACCTACCACCTGGGTAGAAAATCGAGGAAAGGCGGGGCAGTTCTGAATAATTGGTTCAGGGCAGGTACCTATTGGCTAAAGAAGTCAAATTTAGAAGGTAATTAGGTATACTTCGATGCCTAACTCTTCTATAGGTAGAGAAGGGCGAAGAAGATCGTGAGATGCATCTAACAAAGTATCATTCTGAATTAATACCTAGTGCTTTTTATGTTGCTTCATACCTATTTTCAGCATTCGTGGCTTGGAGCCAAGTCGTACAGTCCCCTACAACTCACCGCTGTATCGGATGTTACCAACACCACTCTTTTTTCGAGAGGGACCGCATTCTCTCCTTCATCCATCATTTCTTCTTGTCTTATTCCCTGCCCAAGATTTATCAACCTCCAAAGGCATGTATGACCACAAGCACCGGCCGAATCCAAGATTTGCTTCATACCAGCCTCCAGTCAACATGAAAGTAGCCTGCTCATCAACAAGCCATCTCTCCAATGTGGCTTAATTCTTCGTCACAGTGAACCCATATCTATCGCCTCGATCCAGAAGAACTACTCGATTCTCCATTCCGGCTTCCTTGACGGCAGTCTCAAAGTCTTTGCGAGGAGACAGAAATATGTCGTAGTCATCATAATGAATTGGAATCGTGATCTCTGGATCCATCATTTTCATCAACTCAACACCTTGCTTCGCATCAAGTGTGACCATGATCAATGGCGCAGATGGCCCAGGGATAGTGGTACCTCCCAGGTGTATGAGCATCAGATCGATGCGCTCTTCCCGAAGCCACTTCGGAATTTCCTTGAGCTCATCCACAAGAAGAGTATCTCCAGAGATGTAAATCCGATAGCCAGTTTGGAGCTTGCCTTTTTCAACTTTGCGGTGACCCAGTTCGAGCATCCAGCCATTTGTTGGCGGAACAGCACCAAGCAGGTCGTTGACTGCAGCCAGGGGGCCCGGGGGAACATGCTTGCCAGGCATACCTGTGACTTTGATGACGGGCAGAGGCTCACCAGCCTTCGAACCTTCGTTTTTGAGCTCCAAGTGGTCGAAAAAATCGAGTGGTTCGACATTGCGAAACGGCTCATTCTTAGATGTCAAGCATCTATGCGCATGAGGCGTTGTGACAATTAAGAAATCTCTATTGAGGGAGTCTTCTACCAACCGATCGAAGTGATCTTCGTGATAATGCGACAGAAGAATCGCGTCTAGTGATGGCAGCTCATGTAGGTCAACCGCTGGGTTAGTTTGCCTCTCAGCAGTAACTCCAGGACCAAGATGGACGTGGTCACCGGCATGGAGGAAGTTGGGGTCTGTGAGTAGTCGAAACCCTTCCCATTCGATTATGGTAGTGGCCGTGCCGATAAAATAGACACTCGCATTTTCATCGCCTTCACTCCCTAGAGGGTGAGTCTTGATTGCCTTCAGAGGGAGAGATTGGTCGTCACCACGACTTGACTTATCCTGCAGAAGAGGTTGTCTCTTGGACAATCCTAAGCCAATTGATCCCTTATCAGACATAATGGAGCTTTATAAACAGTAGTTTGTTCTTGCTAATTCTGTTTAAAGTTATCAATTTATTTGGTGTGCTCTTGGTCCTCCTTAAGTATTATACAGAATTCACCTTAATGACGCTTGTATGGCGTACTTTACTTAGAACTATGATAGTACCTTAACTACCGAACTTTTTGTCTATAGTATCATTATTATATATTCAAAAAAAGACAGTCTATAGCAAGATCAAGGTCGAGTGGTGTAGTGGTTTATCACGTCTGCCTCACAACGTATGGCCCATACTTGGACGCAGAAGGTCCCGAGTTCAATCCTCGGTTCGACCTTTCTTTTGGCATTTTGCAGTTTTTAACCAAGTTAATACGATAAGATTTAATCCTTAAGCATTTTCTTTATATAGATAGATTCAGTAATTTAATATTTCTATTTAATTAGCATGTGCTCTAAGTCTGATATATCTTGCTTGTTGTAGCTCCATTTCCCGACGTTGCTGGGATGACGTTGTTAAACTCGTTTGTTTTTGTACCGGTCAGACGAGCCAATAAGATCTCAGCGTTGTCCATCCAGGCCGCGAAAGCTGAGGGGCTTTGACCGACATGTACACTTATGATGACCAATTCTCGGGCATCAACATGAGATTTTTCAACCCCCAGCCAATTTGATCATTCATAAACTTTGTGGGAGACCTAGAGGTAACATTGCGACAACAATTGTGGTATGCGCCAACGCGACGTCTTCTGCGTACTTGCCATAGACCTGTAACCTTGACCGACGATGCCAGAACGCAGCTCTTCGCATGATTCCCGCGATGAAAGCTCTCCTGAGCCAGAACGTGACCGCGATAGACCACGCGACCGTGATAGGGATAGGGATAGAGAACGAGACAGGGACCGGGAGAGAGACCGGGACAGAGATCACGACCGCGACTTGGACCGAGACCCAGGTATTGATGGGGTTGGCGATCGAGATCAAGATCGTGCTAAAGACCGCGACAGAGATCGTGACTACGACAGGGAGAAAGACAGAGAAAGAGATCGAGACAGAGAAAGAGATCACGACAATGGGAGAGACCGAGATGACGATCACGGACGAGACAGGGATTATGCCAATGGGAAGGACAGAGACAGACTCAAGGATAGGGAAGTCGACAGAGATAGGCGTCGCGAGAGCCGTGTCCCTCCACGTGTTCCCCGGGAACCCCGCGATAGAGACCATCCTCCGAATTCTAGCAAGCGAAACAGTATCACCGATCGCCTGCTTGGATCGTTTAGGGCAGTTCGTGGTGAAAAGGAGAAGGAGATTCCAATTCCAGCTGTCGCCTCCTCAATTCAACGCCGGGCATCTTCAGCTGTTACCAAGGGTGGCCCAGTTCTTCGCATTCGTGAGTGGCTTGATGCTTGTAACGCGGATCACCACCACCACTGCGCCGTCTCTTCTGATATTGATATCACAACTTGGCGCCCTGCCTGGCTTATTGACGTCGTTGAGCGGCGCTTAGTCAAGGCAACACCCAAGGACCGTTATTTGGCTCTCAGCTATGTTAACGGTACCCGGCGCAACGGAGAACCGATGTTTACACATCTGCTTCAATCTAATGTGGAAGCTTTCCAAGATCGCCTGCCTAATCTCGACATGCCTCAGACTTATCTGGACGCCATGTGGCTTGCTAAGAAACTTGGAATTCGACACATTTGGATTGACCGTATCTGTATAACCCAGGATAATCGGGAAGAGATGGATGATCACATTAAGCACATGGCATACGTCTTTTCTAATTCTTACCTGACTATTGTTGCCGCTACTGGCGATGTTTATACAGGGCTGCCTTCACTTGATCCAAAACGATCAACGCGTGGCCTTCGGACCACTGGTCGTACTCACCAGGAGTTGGTTGCCGCCTCGCCGTGGTATACGAGGGGCTGGACTCTGGTTGAGCGCATTTATTCTCGACGTTCGGTCTTTTTCTTTGAAGACTCAATAACCTGGGAATGTCACTGCGAGACATGGCAGGGGAGCCCAAACAGTGTGATGAAGAAACTCAGAGGAGGTCGTCAAGAGTGTACGGGCGCTGTCCCTGATGCTGCGTTTGCGTTCCAGCACCCACCTTGGCCTGATCTTGATGAGTATGCCCGCTACGCGATGGAATACAGCGCACGGAAATTGACGCTTGTCGACGACACGCTGCCTGCTTTTGCTGGAATCACACACGTACTATCTCGTTCTTTTCCTGGTGGGTTTATTTATGGCATGCCAATCGCGTTCTTAGATATTGCCTTACTCTGGCGCCCGCATGCGTCCATTCGACGAAGAGCTCTCTCTCGCCCACCATTTCTTCCATCTTGGTCTTGGATGGGCTGGTGGTTTGATAACATTCCGGTCGACTTGACTTTGTGGAGAGCCGCTGCCGACTATGTTGAAGAGGCTCGCACTGGAAAGCGTGGTCAAGAGACCAAACGATACCGGTCCGCTCACCCTTTCCGGATCAAACCTATCGTTACCTGGAGTTTGACGGACCGAGCTGCAACCGCCCCCGTTATGAACACTGGCCTTCAGTACCGTGATCTTCGGGGTCGTCGGAGCCCTAGTTCGGAGCTCCCTCCAGGATGGTCTCGCAGCGGTTCGTACTATGTACACGATAGTGACGACTCTGCGTTGTTCAAATATCCCATCCCTGTCGAGGATCCTCCCGAGACGGGTGGTTATGAGCCACCTGTAGGCGAGCAAGCATACCCCGGCCCATTACTGTCATTCAAAACAACAACTGGTTTCTTTGAGGTTGAGTTTCACACAACTCTCGCTCATCGTGATCGAACCAATCCACCCCTTGCCGTAGGTACTATTTGGAACAAAGCAAACCGATGGGCAGGTCAATTCCGCGCTCACGACGCATGGCTGGGTATTCAGTCTTCCAACTATGATGGTGAAGAGCGCCTGGAGTTTATCGCCATATCAACAGCTACAGAGCGTCGTGGCTCGCATGTATTTGATAATGAGAAATTTGAAGAGCATATGGATGCAGATGAAATGATTGACTTTGTCAATGTCCTTTGGATCGAGCGCATTGGAGATATTGCGTACCGAAGGGGTGTCGGTCAGATCTTACTAAAGACCTGGGAGGCACAAGCCAAGGACGAGGTAGGAATTCTGCTTGGTTAGGATGGCACTTGGTTAGCATGGAGTTGGAGTTTACGTTGAAATCTTGAAATCATGCCTTGGTCTGGAGTTGTAGGAATTTGTCTAAGTCTGTTGCACTATCAATATGAGGACAGGGTTCATTTACTTCAGGACCTTAGCTGAGAAGATTTCCATGGCATGTTGTAATCTATTTCTTGAGCTGCCTTTCTTTTTCTCTTTGTGATGCTACCAATTGAATCGACTTTGACGATACATGACTCAGCGCGGGACTTTTAACAGTCAAAATACGGCAGCTCTACATTCCTCGACATCTGATATGGCCTCTACACAATCCTCCAAGTTGTCCACAACCAGTAGACTGGGGCCTTTGGAATGACCTCCATATCTTGCGAACATACCCAGAGAGATGGAGGCACAGAGCTGCCAAAAACTTAAACTCTGAAAGTAGACTTTCATGTGTTACTCAGATGCCCCCAAATCATTCCGAGGAGTGCTCTGCAACTCTTGTATTTAAGGAATTGGATGCTAATTTCGTGACCTCAGACCATGGCTAATCGCTTTCTTCATACATAGTATGTTAATAATCTTGTTGGTCTAAGCCTCGCCGCAGTCATCTCGGGATTGACTTTATCGATGATTCACTTCTACTGTCTCGAGACTCATCTGTTCCCGAGTGAACAAGCCTCCATCAACTGACCATTTCTATCATATACAACCGCAATCGAAATTCTGCCGCCAAAAGTTTGGTTCATCAGAACACAAGTCCCTCTAAGTTATACGCCGTGATGCCCGGTGCTCGAGGTCTGACAAATACTCCCAAGAGTCTTAACAAGGGCAGCTCTGCCTAGACAAACCAGACAAAAGAAGGGTCTTCTTTTCTCCTGCTGGCCTTGAATCCTTGACAAGCTTACGCACACCATAGTATCTACCTTCCTGGCCATCAGAGCTAGTGACGACTGATTTGTAACTTGTTAAGAAAAGCTTAACAGCCGTTATTTATCAACGCTGTCCGGTTTCGAGACCAGGGAAACTTGTGAGAAGAACTTGCCAGGAATAATGCCTTGTAGTTAAAGTCGGTAAGTCGTTTGACCTCGAAGCCTTCAGTTTCGACAAATGTTTTGTCGTAGCACATCACCCTTAAGATTTTCATGTTAGAGCAAAGCTTCCAATTACTGATATACATATTACGCGCACTATGGTCTCCTGAAATAAAGAAGATGATGGATCCAGTCAAAATTACCAAGCCTACCTGCGCTGAAGACAACGTCTTCCAGCAGTTATTGAGGGAGCCCGGAAGAGGATAGGAATTGCCTTTGGTGTGTAGATACTTGTTGATCTGATGATATTGTTTTTAGCCATACGGTCACAGGGTGTCTCAGGCTCACATGTGGTACGGAACGTTCATGTGTCAGTGATTCATGCTTTCGCGAGCAACCCTTACTTTTGTGTATCCTTCTTTAGGACGCTTTTACTGTTGTGGCACTTCAGTGCGTTATGGCTTCTTTGTTTACGAGGATTCCGCCTCATCTGAAGACCATTTCACCTTCAAAAATCGATATTTCAGATTAAATTCATATCTTGATATGCAAGGGAGATGACGTGCGACTTATGTATTGATTGTACGATCTATAAAATACAAACAGCCCAGGTATTTGAGTCTTTTGCTTTTCGAGGACACCAAGGAAATACATGAAATACCATGGTAGATTTACCACGGACTTTTTTCAAAGCCTTCCAGTTCTGCGTCTCAAGATAAGGAGACTTGACTACCTAATGTCAGCAACTTTACGGAGTAGGAGTGTCAAGAAATATCCATAATAACTGCGGTTGACTTCAGGTCCGACAAACTGGATTGATGGTTCAGCGGCTCACTG